CTAAGCCAACAACAAATATGTCTTTTAGAAAAATATACTGTTAAAAATATATTAGGCAGCCTTGTGCCAGCCAAGACAATTTCAGATTTGTTAAAGAATTTCATTTATTGGGATATTCTAGATACAGATTAACTTTCTATGTTCAATGTTTACTTTTCCATGTCTTGGAAGCAGAACTGCACTAAATGGTCTGGAAGTTTGTTCGGTTCACAGTCATGTCTTTGTACAGCTCTGCACCCTTTGCAAAGATGGCAGCCCATTTCTGTAGAAGAGAACTTGCTGTCAAAACATACATTTTCCTTAGCTTTCTAAAACCACTAGATGAAATATAACAAACAGTTTTGTCACAACTTAAAGATCTACAAATTAAATAGTGTACCTTAAGAATAACAAACTAATTGTTTAAGAATGCTGTTATATAAAGCATGCTTATACATTTCTAAGTCAACACTAAAATGTTTATGTTTTGAAAACCAAGTCATAATGTAAGGTACTTTTACCTCACTCTTCTGCCAAAAAGTCTTCCAGAGTGACTTAAATACTAATCAAATACTGTTTTTATATTTTCTTACCTAAACTGTTCTGGAAAAGTTCTTTGTTTTCCCTTTGTTGATGTGCAGTATATAGATATCTTGTATAAATAGATGTAACAAATATTGGATTGCTTAGTCTAGAAAAAGAGCTTGCTTATAAATGACATTGGTTTAATTAATGATACACTATGTGTGATTTATATAATACAGAAGTGCAACACTTCTGAAAGTGAAGGATTGGTCGGCTGTATGCCATTCTACTGTAAACCTGCTGATGAGCAAAATGGCCCAACCATAAACAAAATGACCCAACGGAGCTTTTAGGACCATAGATTACAATAATTTCTAACATTTTAACTTGTTCTTAATTTTTTACCTATATTTCATATACAGTACGACCATAATTTTAAATTGTGCAATGCTCTGATACAAAGGAAGGAAGTTGGAAGCGAAGGCTTTCTAAACAGTGTGCATCAGTCAGTGTGCAATCAGTTAAGAAGAGGGTGTACTTCCTGTTATTAATACAATTAACTATTTTGACTTGCCAGAATGGAATTTCCTCAGAAAACAGAGCATGTCAAATGCAAGATACATAGCTGAGGAAAATCATGTTATCACAGTTTTTTAAAAAACATAGTTCAACTAGAACTACAAGGGAGATAGGAAAGATTTTACATTTGAGTCAGGGGTGCTTATGGACTGAGGAAGGGGGCACCTCACCTTCTATATTTGGGTTACAGCATCCTCCTGCTCTGATAATGAGCTGCCTGTGATTTCACTTACTATCCTATGAGAGCCAGTATGAAGCTATTGGAAACATGATCTTTTTGGACTCCCAGAATCTCAGGGTCATCATGGCTAACAGCCTCCCAACTAAAGACTTGTAGGAATTGAGATTAAAAAAAGTGGCATTTCCAGTTTCTGATGGTATTTAATGGTCGGAATGAGACCTGCAAGATCCCAATTCCACTATGTCATGAAATTCACTAGGTAACCTTGAGACAAGCCATACTCCTTTACATTAACCTACAACATAAGGTTATTTCAATAGTAGAGTGGGAAACAGATTCTTTACTCCAGTGGTCCCCAACCATGGGCCTCCAGATGTTCTTGGACTACAACTCCCAGAAGTCTTCACCATCATCTCTGCTGGCCAGGATTTCTGGGAGCTGAAGTCCAAGAACATCTGGAGGCCCAAGGTTGGGGGCCACTGCTTTACTCCATGCTGACTTGATCACACTGGAATGAAAGAGACAAATAATGCAGCTGGGGTTTCTATGGACTCACATGGAAATAAAGGTTAAAAGTTACCATCACCCACCCCACAAACAGAAATACTATCTGGCACCATCTACTGAAAGGGAAGTCCAGCCCCTTTTGGCACATGAACCACACAGAAAGACCCAAGTCAGCACAGAGCACATGCCTTTGACACTGAAAGGACAATGATGAGATTGAGGTGAGCTTTTTTACAAAGTCAAAAGTGAGAGCCATGCCAAAATAAATCTAATCTGTTTGCTTAATTCCAGTAGTAGAATATTAGGCCCAAGGAGTGTCAGGAATTCCAGCAGGAAAATATGTTGTGGTTTCCTTAAGACAGTTCACCTCAAGCCAGGGAAATGCGGTGATGCAGATTTTTCCAGTGCTCCTTAATTTTATGGCAAGCCTGGTGAATTAGCACGTACAAATACCAGGCTGTACTTGCCAAGTCAGCCATAACTTGAATCCTTCCAGAATTCCTCTGTCGCATCATTTAACAACTTTATATAGCAGAAGGAGATGTGATAGGAAGCAAAGCCATTCCACCAAGCCTGCTGATAAAGGACTTGCCTTCTACCTTTTGTCCTCCTCAACTCTTTTTCCTTTTGTGTGATGTGTTTTTCAACTCTAGGCCAGCAGCAGCAACTCTGTTTTCTTAAGTAACTATATATAAGTCTCTCCAAAGATACATTTGACTGAGTGAGATAAAAATACTAATCAATACAATAACAACCTAATATCTAAGCCATAATGCTTGCCTGTTACTTCAATTTATTCAGCTTATATGCCGCCCACACTACCCAGAGGTCTCCAAGAAGAAGAAAGTAAACTCTTGAATGGCGCTATTTGCATATCAACAAATAGTGTCTTAAGACATGAGAGAATAGGATGCCTGGATTTATCCATTTTTCTTCACACATACCTCAAAAGCACAAAAGCAGAAAAATAGTTACTAGCTATATAAGCCACCTCTGTAGGATGGCCCAGTTAGAGCCAGAGTGTGGAAATAATATGTTGCAAAAAACAACACAGACAATGGGAAATTATTTCATCCATACCTGGGAAAGTCCAGCAAACATGTTTAGATAAGAGGTAGTAGAACAGGTGACCCTTCAAGCTAGTGCTTCAAAGAGCATTAGATCAGTTTATGGAAGCTCCTAATTCTGGCTTCTATGAACGGGTTTATGGTGGTAGTCATCAAGGAGAAGATCACAAAATATGAACTCTCTAACAAAGAAAAAGAAGAACAAACCTATTTTATTTATTTATTTATTTATTCATTCATTCATTCATTCATTCATTCATTCATTCATTCATTCATTCATTCATTCAACTTATATGCCGCCCACACTACCCAGAGGTCTCCAAGAAGAAGAAAGTAAACTCTTGAATGGCGCTATTTGCATATCAACAAATAGTGTCTTAAGACATGAGAGAATAGGATGCCTGGATTTATCCATTTTTCTTCACACATACCACAAAAGCAGAAAAATAGTTACTAGCTATATGCCTTGGTAATTTAACATCCTTGTGCTGAACTTTCCACTGTGTTGCCAAGACACAGAAAACAGAACAGGAATGAGAAAGGGATGAACAAAGGCAACAAAAGGAAAAAAAGAAAATAATGTTACAAAGATGCTAGTGTGAGCATAACTTAAAAGCCATCCAATGAATCCACAGGAAAGAGGAAGGGAACACACATTGTGGGGCTTAAAGTGGCCATTTAGAGACTTGTCAAAGGTGGTGTGCTTCATCAAAAATGAGGACAAAAAGGGATGCAAACTGTATGAAACTTGTACATACCAATTTATGTTATACATGCAAATTTATAAATAATTTCTTTCATTTAAAAAGAAATATTAAGTACCTGTCATCACTGTGGGGAAGACCGACCAGCTTATCTGTGTGACTGCTCTGCAGCTGATACTTCAAAATCTTTGCTTTTATTTTTTGTCGATACATACCTTCAAATTGGACTTGGACTGGACAGCTCTTCAAACAGAGGATACCTCTAAATAGAGGCTACTCCTCCATAAAATAAAACATATGGCAGCTATAATGCAACTGCTGCTATGGATAAGGAGTTTAGTATTTGTAAGCGTCTAGAGGGCTTTACACACATTATCTAGTTGTGACACTTACACCTCCTTACAATAATTTTCCATCTGGGAAAAGTTACTTTTTTGTACAACAACTCAGGATTGACATTGTAATCCAAAAAGAAGTTTATTTATTTTATTTACAATATTTTTTAGCTGCACCATTGCCAGTGGAGTTCTCTCTTCAAAGTTATTAATATGTCACAGATTATAGGTGACAAAATGAAACTGAAAGTGTGTGGCTTGCCTAAGGCCACCTAGAAGTTTCATAGCAGAGGCAAGATTTGAATGGAGAACTTCGAGTCTATAGCTCTGTCTCTTAGACACTACAAAACAAGGTCTTGTATTTCAGTTATTATTTTACAAATTATTTGGTTGTGATGCTGCCTCATCCTGCAGAAGTAGTTTATTTTTTCCATATCGTGATTCTGACTTAGGTTTAACACAGATGTCCCTATTTCACTCTGTTCAGTGTAATGGCAACATTGAGCATTGAGATACCTGCCTATACAAAATGTCCCAAAATAAAATATTCAGTTTAAAGACATTCAGTTTGTCCTAGTGAGGTTTGCATGAGCAACCTTCTAGGGCCATTGAACTTAATAGCAGGTTTCCACTGACTGACTTCAACTGGACCGCAAGTTTCCTCTGTGTTTGAAGACTGGGAATGCTGTAGCAGAGGGTGTAGCCCTTTAAGAAAACTGGTAAGAAAGTAACTGAGCCCCTAGAAGGCATAATGTTCCCCCTCTCACACACACACTTCACCAGAAGGATGATTGCAATACTTTGTCATAACTGTGCTGAACAGGCAGTTTTTAAAAGGAGACTTGCATCCAGAAAAGATCAGAGTAATCTCTCTCTCTCTCTGTGTGTGTGTGTGTGTGTGTGTGTGTACACACACGTGCACAGCAGATAAGGGAACTATGACAGCTTTAAGTACAGGTAATAAAAACGAACAAACCCCATTCTTAGCTAGTCCCTTGTTGATCTCCTTATTTTCCTCCCCTTTCTCCTAACGTATCCTTTCATCCTTCCAAATTTTCCAAAGAGACTGCAGGAGTTCAGAAATTCTACATTTCAGCAGACAGGGTTATGCAATCTGTTATACCTGAATGTCTTTGTCCCACATGCATCTTCAGCTCAGGCTGAGCCTGAGCCGGGAACTGTTGCTCCTCCAGGATCTGGTTTAGAATGAAGAGGAGATTTACAAGAGCAGCGATCTGTTCCCAGCAACTGATACAGGCAGTTTGTGCCAGAAGGCTCCTCCTCCTCCTTTTCCTACAAAGGGCAAATTCATTCTACATTACAGGTCAGGAATATAGTGTTAGAAAGACTCTGTCTTTATAGATTCCCTACAGTTAACTACCTCGCCTGTTCTGGTGGGGAATGAGGAAGCTCATCCAGAAATGAAAGGGCTTCTATGTAGTAAATTCATATTACAAAAAAAAAAAAAAAGAAGGCTCCTCCTCCTCCTTTTCCTACAAAGGGCAAATTCATTCTACATTACAGGTCAGGAATATAGTGTTAGAAAGACTCTGTCTTTATAGATTCCCTACAGTTAACTACCTCGCCTGTTCTGGTGGGGAATGAGGAAGCTCATCCAGAAATGAAAGGGCTTCTATGTAGTAAATTCATATTACAAAAAAAAAAAAAAAANCATAGTAATGTACTGTATTACCATTTAGGTTTAATATCGTTATTGCTATTATAGGTTTAATACCTGCTTGCCAATAAAAATAATCTGGTATATTTTTTATCTGTAGTACATAGTTATAAATAAACCAAATGGAAAGGGTGACAAGTAGGGTCCTCTGTAGCAGTAAGCAGAGGAGTGGGTGAAGGGTAACAGAAACAGCCATTACAGCAGGCATCTTTTCTACAACTTATTGTACAATGCATGCAAGATATTTGCTGACTCCTGATAGAGCACAGCTGAGGAATAAAGCCAAGGCACACTCACATGACCAGAGCAAGGAAACAAGAAGTGCTAACAGGAGTTTCATGGGGGAAAGGTAGGAAGGGAAGGTCTACCAGAGGAAGGAACAAAAGAAAGGGGGAGACAAAGGCAGAGAGGTGAGGGTTTGTTTTTGTTTTTTTAAGATTAACACCAGGAAGGGACCTGGAGTAACCCTTAGGAATCCCCCATTCAGAAGCACCATGTGCTCCGTTTAAGAAGCATGGTCATGTACTTAGCTAAAAAAAGGGGGGTGTCCTTAACAGGAAAGGTTGCATACTCAGCTTAACAGAAAAGAGTGTGTCCTGAAAGCTTTAAGCAGCAGTTGTGAATTCTGGGAGAGCCCTTTGATTGTTGACTCCTATCAGAACACAGCTGAGGCAGACCTAAAGGGAGCTTGCAGCCAGGGAGAGCAAATACTGTACCATGTTTTCCCCAAAACAAGACAGGCTCTTATATTAATTTTTTCTCCAAAATGCATTAGGGATTATTTCCAGGGAATGTTTTATTTTTCATTTACAATAATCTATATTTATTTGAATACAGTAATATCATCATCTTCTGGTTACTGCACAATGCTGCACAATGGTGGAGGGCAGAGTTTCACTTAATTAGGGCTTATTTTGGGGGTAGGGCTTTGTGGTGGAACCCCCACGTCACGCCTATCCATCATGGGAAACTAAAGGGCAGGAGGGTGGACTTGTGTTTAAGGGAAAATAAACAAAGGACATGGGGTGTACGTCACAGCATCTTATATTACGAGCATCTTGAAAAATCATACTTAATTGGGGCTTATTTTCAGGTTAAGTCTTATTTTCGGGGAAATAGGGTAGGAGGCCCCTTAAAAAGTTGGGGTTTGGGCTTTTTGGAAATAGTTATATATTACGAGTAGTATTAGTATTATGATCAGACACAGTTATCAGGGTGCCGGTTGCAATACTAATCACTCCCTGATGTGTGGTAGAGTAAAACTGCAAACAAAGAGATTGTATCACACGAAAAAGGAAGGAACACGACATATTGACATCAGCAAGACTCGTGATCAAAGAAAAGTGGAGGAATTTCCCAAGCGCTTGAGGAATCCCCTCCAGGCCCAGCTGATGCAAATGCATCTGAATGATGGGAACATTTCAAGAATGCTGTTTATAACACTGCCTTGTCCACATTTGGCAAGAAGACGAAAAAGACAGCAGACTGGTTTGAAGCCTGTTCGGAGGAGTTGTTGCCAGCCATTGAGGAAAAGAGGAGAGCTCTAGCAGCATACAAAGCCTGTTCTAGTGAGTACAACTTGCAGGCTCTTTGAGTTGCTCATAGCAAAGTTCAAAAGATTGCCAGGAGATGTTCTAATGATTATTATCTTCAACTCTGGTCTCAGATACAGGTAGCAGCAGACACAGGTAACATCAAGGAAATGTATGACTGTATCCAGCAGGCTTTAGGTCCAATACAGAAGAAATCTGCTCCCTTGAAGTCTGCTACAGATGTAATCATCCAGGACCAAGCACAGCAGATATAACGCTGGGTGCAGCACTACTCTGAGCTATATTCCAGAGAGAATGTAGTAACCAAAGAGCATTAAATAACATTGAGTGCCTGCCTGTCTTGGAAGTAGTTGAACAACGAACCAACTTTAGCAGAAATAAAAGCAGCCTTGGATTTCCTCACCTCTGGCAAGGCACCTGGGAAGGATAACATCCTTGCTGAAGTGCTGTAAATATATCATCATCACCGAACTGTATGAAATCTTTTGTCTTTGCTGGAGGGAAGGTGGAGTACAACACAACATGAAGGATGCAAACATCATCACATTGTATAAGAACAAAGGAGATGGGGCAACTGCACTACTATGGCATCTCTCATCTCAGTGTTGTAGGGAAGCTGCTTGCCCGTGTTGTGCTGAAGAGACTCCAGGTGCTTGCAGACAGAGTATATCCAGAATCACAGTGTGGATTTTGAACTACTAGATCCACCACTGACATGGTATTCTCCCTCAGACAATTGCAGGAGAAATGTAGGGAACAACGACAGCCACTGTTTGTGGCCTTCATAGATCTTACAAAGGCCTTTGACTTGGTTAGCAGGGACGGCCTTTTTAAAATACTTCCTAAGGTTGGATGTCCACCTCGACTCCTTAACATCATCAGATTCTTTCATGAGGGAATGAAGGGCACCGTAGTTTTTGATGGCTCAACATCAGATCCTTTGCCATCCAAAGCAGAGTGAAACAGGGTTGTGTCCTCACGCCGACCCTGTTTCGGATATTTTTTGCTGTCATGCTGAAGCACCACCTTTGGAACTGCAACAGAAAGTGTCTATATCCAGACTAGATCAGATGGAAAGTTCTTTAATCTCTCTAGATTGAGAGCGAAGACCAAAGTCCAGCTGAAATGCATACGGGACTTACTCTTCGCCGATGATGCAGCTGTTGTTGCCCATTCTGCTGAAGACCTCCAACAACTCATGAATCGTTTTAGCAAGGCCTGCCAAGACTTTGGATTAACAATCAGCCTGAAGAAGCTGACGGTATATACCAAGATCCAGGTTTATAGAGCCTATGTCCTCAGGACACACCTGTACTGCAGTGAGTCCTGGACCCTTTGTGCACGGCAGGAGAGGAAGCTTAACACGTTTCATATGAGTTGTCTCTGACACATTTTTGGCATCACCTGGCAGGACAAAGTTCCACATAGAGTAATCCTAGAACAAGCTGGAATTTTTAGCATGTATACATTACTGAAACACTGACGTCTACGTTGGCTCGCAGGACACACCTGTACTGCAGTGAGTCCTGGACCCTTTGTGCACGGCAGGAGAGGAAGCTTAACACGTTTCATATGAGTTGTCTCTGACACATTTTTGGCATCACCTGGCAGGACAAAGTTCCACATAGAGTAATCCTAGAACAAGCTGGAATTTTTAGCATGTATACATTACTGAAACACTGACGTCTACGTTGGCTCGAGCATGTCGTGATAATGGCTGATGGTCAGATTCCAAAAGATCTCCTGTATGGAGAATTAATGCAGGGAAATTGCCCCAGAGAGAGACCACAGATTTGACATCTGAGCGTTCAGCCTGGAGGCAGGTGGTGCAACATGGCCTCTCCCGATTTGAAGAGGCACGTGTTGAGCAGGCCAAGGCAAAGAGGTAGTCCCCGAACCAGCAAAATCAGAGAGCTGGACAGGGGACGGATTGTATTTGTCTTCAGTGTGGAAGGGATTGCCACTCTTGAATTGGTCTTCTCAGCCATATTAGATGCTTTTTCAAATCCTCTATTCAGAAACATTAACATAGTCTCTTGAGACTGAAGGAAGCCTAATCTAATCTATAATTAGTGGAATTTCCCAGCTACATTCAAGGTAAAAAAAAGGGAAAGGGCATTCGTAGATAAAAAGATCAAAGCAAAAAGCTAACAGGAATTATGGCAAGAAGAGACACTTCAGGTGTGGTGACCTGCAAAGTTTGAGCAATGTTTATCTTTGTGCCTGAGCGTACCATGGCATACACATGCAGCAAGTGCAAACCGGTGGCACTGTTAAAAGAAAAAATGAGAGAACGGGAGCAGTGAGCAGCCACAGTTAAGGCTATAAGGGAAGATGAAGCAGACATCTCTTAGGACCCTTGAGCAGCAGCATCAGTCTCAACAAAGGGATTGAAGGTGGAAGAGCAACAAGGGAAGGCAGAGGAGGAGAATGCCAAGGGGATAGTAAACACAGTGGAGAAAGCACCATGGAAAAGAGTCAAAGTTAGGAGCAAAAGAAGGAGAAGACTATCTTCACCAGTAGAACTGTGAAATAGCTTTCAGGTTCTTGGTGAGGAATTTAGCAGGCAAAGTCAAAGAGGAGACCTCACATGAGTACATGAGAGGGACTGAATCTCAGTCAAGCAGACACCCTACAAAAAGAAGATGAAAACAGTAGCTGTAATAGGAGACTCCATACTGCATGGAATGAAAACTGAAGTATGTTGGGAAGATCCATGGACCAACCAATAAGGTTCCCTCTAAACTGGGTGTGCATGCGTGCGTGACTCAGTCTCCTTCTGCGCAGCTCTTTCTCCTTCACGCAGCAATCACATTTGGTTCTTGTCATGACAGAACACTGCACGCAGGGGGGTGGAGGCATGCTAGAGAGAGATGGAGTCTCACCCAGTGGAACTGAAAATTAGAGGGTACATTTCCCACCAGGTATGCTGTCTCCCTGGAGCACAGATTAGGGGTGTGACAGGAGGACTGCCATCTCTTATAAAACTAAATGGATACATATCCCTTCTCATCCATGTGCAAACAAGCAACACAGTCAAGAGCAACTTTGAAGTGATCACATCAGACTTCAAAGAGAACGAAACTTAAGGACTATGGGGCCCAGATAGTTTTCTCATCCATTTTACCAGTACAGTACTCAGAAAAGGAATACAAAGGAAAAGGAAAATAATCTGGGTGAGTGACTGGCTACAAAGGTGGTGTTGACATGAGGGATTTGGTTTTTGGGAACATGACCTAACCTTTCTAGAAGGAGGACTCCTAAAAAGAGATGGCTTGCACATCACAAGGGCAGGGAAGAATGTGTCTGGCCACAATATGAAGAACTTCATCAGGAGGGCTTTAAACTGAACTGAAAGGGAGAGGGAGACACAAGCACGGTGGAAAAGATAGATTAAGTCTTGCACACAATAAGAGGAATGGACTAAACAATTCTAATGGGGGTCAATAATAACATTAACATTAATAATCATATTCATAAAAATGTACAAAGAAAAGCAGGCCACATATCTCACAATCTCCAGTGTCTATATGCAAATGCCAGGAGTATCGGAAACAAACAAGAAGAACTGGAATTGTTAGTTCAGAAGGGTAAATATGACTTGACAGGAATATCTGAAACTTGGTAAGAATACAGCAATTGAAGGATATAAATTGTTCAAGAACAGAAAGAATAAAAAAGTATACAGTACTGTCAAAAATATACATACCTGCACAGAAATACAAGAGGAGGAGATTGGCTATCCCATCGATAGCATCTGGATCAATGTAGCTGGAGTGAAAAACAAAAGCAACATTGTAGTTGGAGTCTACTACTGATTGCCCAATCAAGGAGAGGATGCAGATGAAACCTTTGACTGGTGAAATTTTTGACTGACTGTTGAGACATTCTAAAATTTTTAACCAGGCAAAAGTTGTGCTTCTTAAACAGCATTAACATTCTAACACTACACAAACATTTGTTGACAATGTACTATTCCACTGAGAATTTTATGAGAGAGCTCAAGAGAAAAAGCAAGGAAATTACTGTCAGACCTAAAATAACATTTTATGCAGTTATAACACAACAGAAAACACAGCACTACATTCATACATCCTATAAATAAACATTCTTGCACAGAGTGATAGTGATTTTTATTATTACTAGCAATTTCCTGGTCCTGATCAGCTCAATCTCTTATTATAGATCTCTGCTATATTCCATACATGTACAGTATCTGTACAATTTGTCACAGAATCTGACTTTCAGATACATGAATCATAGAAACTTCATCCTTCTGATACCAGTAAGCAAATGCATGTGCAACAAATACACTCAACAAAATGGGCAGAATAACAGATATTTCCACAAAAGTACTTTGCATTTGCTCTGTCACTGTGGTTCTCAGCCTCTGGTTTATCAGATTTTGAAGTGCAACCACCAGAAGCCTCAGTCAGCATAGCCAGTATCCAAGCATGCTGGGAGCTGAAATCCAAACATCTAGAGAATCACTGCCTAAGAACTACTGCCCTATCAGATAATGCATTTATTAGCTCTCATACATTCCATTATTGCCTCTAAGCACTAATTCAGAACATCAACAATTTTTTTGCATTAGTTGAAAAGACAAAATAGAATTGCAGGTCACCTGCACATTGGTGAAATAGTGCCCCAAATACCTAGATGTTATTTCCTAGTACAGTAGTGCCTCAGTTTGCGAACGCCTCAGTTTACGTAATTTTTGCTTTACAAACCAAAATCCATAAGAAATAAAGCCCCGGTTTATGTTGAGGTTCCCCCCCGACTACAAAAGTGTTTTCCCAGGGCACACTGCACCACCCCTTTTGTAGCGCAATTGGCATTTCGGTTTGCGAAATTTCTGTACTACGTAATGTGTAGAACAGATCCGTTTCGCATACTTAGGTACTACTGTAGTTTCACCTAGATCAGGAGTAAGCAGATTCCATTGGCCTTTGGGCCAGTTCTGTAACCTCAGAACCCAGAACAGGCTGCATTGCTCCTTACTGTCTACTTTTGGCACTGAAAATGCTGAAAGCCATATTTCCTGTTGTTAATTAAGCAAAGAATATGTCTTTTGTGCTAGGAAACATTTGTGGTTCCACAAATACAGTTATTGTTTTACCACAAAAATGTGCTGTTTTTCAAAGTGTTATTCAATTTTTGCATTTAAGGGACCAGGAAAAATGGATGGGGGGGGCTGCATGTGATCCCCTCCCCCGATGGCATGGGTCACTGTATTAACAGCATTTTTAGCAAAGACCTTTTGGATTATTTAAAAATGGCAACAAAGAGTCAGGCCTAAATAGCCACTTACAAAATAAGTTCCAGTGAAAACCTGAGTCAATGTAAGACGTAATAATGCCCTTTTGAGGAAAAACATTATATGAATTGCAACATTGTTTGTGTCTTTATATTATAATACAGTATGGTAATTATTACCAGAAGTCTGTATAAGACTGAATGACAGGTGTGGAATGCCTGGTGTTATAAAGAAGATAGATGTTATGAAAATGAAACTCATAGAGATGCTCTTGTGTCAGAGGAAGTGTAGGATGATCCATAAAAGCCATGTTGAAATAAATCAAGATGTCACAATGTGACAATACTTTTAGTTTTTGTTATACAAGTTGTAGAGATGGGGTCAAGATTTGAGAGACAGTAGATTATTATTTGTGGGTGGAAAGAAACAGAGACTTTGTGAGGAAAGGTTGTGTTTATAATCTAAAGGCATAGATTGCAATACAGTATACTGCACAGTATTAATGGTAAAGAGTCATTGTAACAATATGAAGAGCCTTGCAAATAGCACACTTATTCTGCCTTAACCCATGGGTTGTACACTGATCAGAAATCTTCCCAGCATCTGGATTATGTTCCTCTTGTTCTGTACTGTTTTCCCTCAACAAGTTTCAAGACATTTTGTTACTCCCAGACCCTATTGCATATATTAGTATTGCTTGGTATCAGATTTCAGATTAGGCATCCTTCAGTCTTGAGAGACTATGGTAATGTGCTCTGAATAGAGGTCTTGAAACATTGGACCATTGCTCTAATGCCCCATGCAAGGAAAGCAATGCTCAAAGTGTTGCAAGAAAGGCTTTTATCTTATATGGATGAGAAATGCTGGATATTCAAGCTGTATTCTGAAAAGGAAGAGATATCATATTGCAAATATTTGCTGGTTATTGAAATGCACCAAAGAATTTCAGAAGATCAGTCTATGCTTTACAGTCTACAGTAAAGCCTCTGACTTGTGTGGAACATGAGAAACTGTGGATTGTTCTAAAAGAAACTGGTATGCCTCAGCACTTAATTGTCCTGATGCATAACCTGTATTGTGGACAAGAAGATACTGTTAGGACAGAATATGGACAAAATGGTTTACTAAATGCAAACATGTCAGCCAAGGATGTATTTTATCATCTTACCTGTTCAATCTGTATGCAAGAAGAAAGATGGACTATACTAAAATGAAGGAAGTGAAAATTGTGGAAGAAATATCAACACTTTAAGATGTGCAGATGATACAATCTTACTGGCAGAAACTACCAATGACTTGAAACTACTTATGATGAAAGTACCAAAGCAGGGCTGCAGTGAAAGGATATGTAACTGGAGACCAAGATGATCCACACTACGAGTATTGTATGTGAAAGCTGGGCTGTAAAGAAAGATGACAGGGAAAATAAAGAGTAGAAATATGGTGCTTGAGAAGAATTTCACAGATACCCTGGACCGTCAGAAAGACCAACCGCAACCCAAGCCTGAACTACAGTGCCTCGACTTGTGAATGTCCCAACATACAACCATTTTGAGTTATGGCCACCTCCGGCCGCAAAATTTTGCTTCTAATTGCGACCGGAGCTTCAAGTTACTACCAAAAACAGGCATGGAATAAAGGCGGGGAATTCAAATTGCTAACCATTGGTGGCAAAGAGGCTGCTTCTTTGTAGCTCTTTTGCCCCAGCAGTTAGAGAGTGTGCAATCGGGGGAGGTTTCATACTGTCCATTAAGGTAAGGTGCTGCTTTCTGCTTTTTAAAAAAATGTTCTTGGTGGGTTTTGCAGCATGGTCTTGGGCTGGGGGGTTATGTTTCTGTGCTGTGATGGGTCTTGCAGTCTTTGTTTTTTGAGGATTTTTTCATGTTTCCGATGGGTCTTGCAGGGGTTTTTTTTTGCTTTTGGGGTTCCCCCCCATTTCCGATGGGTCTTGCAGGGTTTGTTTGCTTTTTGCTTTGCTTTTTTTTGCATTTCCAAAAGGTCTTGCAGTGTCTATTTGCTTTTTGATTTGCTTTTTTTGCATTTCCGAAGGGCCTTGCAGTGTTTGTTTTTTGCTTTGCTTTTTTTGCATTTCCAAAGGGCTTTGCAATGTCTGTTTGCTATTTGCTTTGCTTTTTTGCATTTTTGAAGGGTCTTGCATGGCTTGTTTGGTTTTCTTTCTTTTTTTCCCCTTCGGCCAGAACAGATTGATCGCATTTCCATTGGGTCTTGCAGTGTTTTGTGGGTTTTTTTGTGATTTTTTTCCTTCGGCCAGAACAGATTAATTGCATTTCGATGCATTCCTATGGGAAATTGTGCTTCGACTTATGACCATTTTGAGTTATGACCGGAGTTCCGGAACCAATTAAGTTTGTAAGTCAAGGCACCACTGTATATCTGGAAGCAAAAAGGGTGAAACTGAAGCTATCCTACTTTGGGCATATAATGAGAAGGCAGCCTTCTCTGGAAAAGTCAATAATGCTTGAAAGGGTTGACAGCAGCAGAAAAAGACGAAAATGAAAAAGAGGAAGACCAGATATGAGATGGATTGACTCCCTAAAAGAAAACCACACTTCAAGTTGACAAGAGCTGAGCGGGGCTGTTAAAGAACAGGACATTCTGGAGTTTACTCATTCACAGGATCATCTTAAGGAGGAGGCAACATGATGGCATATAATAGTAACAAAGATGCTAAACTCAATAACTAAGCGATTTGATCCTTTCTGGACCAATTTTTATTTCAACAAGCCTGAGATATAACGCTTTTGAGAAAAGCATTTTGGGATGTTTCTGAGATCTTAGAGACATTTACGCAGTAAGAGGCAGGGAAATAATGATTCCATTGAAGTGTTTAGCCTGAAAGAGGGTAGAGTTCAATGGATGGTGGCAGTGTGAGGACAGGGATAAGCCCTAACCCCTCACCTCCCAAACTTGAAGTCCTACATATCTCCATGGGTTCAGCACAAAGGTCTGGCAGAAGGACAGCAGGGTAGCCTTGGTGGAAGGGAATTCTACAATTTGATTGCAGTCATGGAAGCAGCACTCTCTGCATCTGTGTCTGCACTAACAGTATGTGTGATGGACGGACTGAAAAATGACAATGTGGCAAGCACTTACTGTATTGAGATGTATGACTACAGAGACACTTGTTACCAGAAACTGTTGAGAGACATTTTCCCCACGGATACAACTGCTTGGACAAGACTTATATGGGTTCAAAAACCATGCTCAAGATTGGAAGGTAGCATGGCTCTCTTCATAACTTGTTATTACAGATGTGGTATTGGAAGGTAGCATAGCTTTATGTAAATAACTTGTTATTTATCTCTTCATAACTTGTTATTACAGATGTGGCTAAAGAAGTGGATTATAATCCATGAAAACTCGCACTCGAATTTGTCAACGTTACCTTTTTCATTTTTTTTTTTACTTTACATGAGGAAGTCAATGAGGTTTGATCCCCAAGTTGGAGAGGTTGGCTCAGCCTATTCTATAGTGTTGGTATGTGTTGAGGTCCAGCAACATGAGAGTCACTGCGGTGTAGGAGATAGAGTGACAAACAAAGACACAAGAGACCTGAGTTCAAATTTCTACTTGGCCATGGAAACTCTCCAGGGTGGTGGTGGTAGTGAAGATAAAACGACTCAGCTATCTTGCGAACCGTGACAACACTATTAGGGTCATCGTCAGTTGGATGCAGCACATAACACACCAGCAATATGCGGACGGCCACAAGTTCGCCACACAGTTTACACTTGTTCAGCATGAGCTCGTAGGAAATCCAAAGTTATGAGAGCAAATCTACTGCTCTGTCCCCTCGTTTGCTTTGTAAATACGCTTTCGTACTGCTGCTACTCCGCCAATTTAAAAAAAAATCATGCGGGCGTCGACGCTAACCACAGCAAACGCCGGCTCGAGAGCACCAGCCCGCAAGCGGACGTCAACAGTTAAAATCGTGCGCATGCTCCATACTCCGTCCGAACTTTCCTTCAAGCGCAACACTCTCCTTCTCCTTCCTGCCCATCACTTTAGAAACCCCGCCTTCCACGGGCACGTCCTGGGCCTCGATTGGCTGACAATTTCCCGCTTCCTTCTTCCCTTTTGATAACCCGCCATTTTGAAACGTTGTTGATTTTTTTGAAGGGAGTGTGAGCAACGCGAAATTCACGCTCAGTCCCGCCCCTCCTCTTCTACTCGCCGCTGTTCTTATTTCCGTTTCGTTTTAATTGCCGCCGTCGCCGCCGTTACCACTTTAGCAACGCCTCGAGGTATCCCGTCTTTCGACGAGGTGGGTGTTCCGTTACTCCCGTGATAACGGCCGAACGGGAAGCTTTATCGGGCTCGGCCTGGAGTTGCTCCGGTCCAGATGTCCGAGAGCAGTCCTTGGGCCGCGCGCAGAGCCTTTTCGCCGCTTAGGGTTTTAAAAGCCGGCTGCTTGACGGCTCAGCCTGCTTATACTGTACCTCCTTTTGCCTCCCTTCCCGGAGTAGAAGTCGGGGGGCGCGAGGCCCGATGTTTTCCTCTGCGCGAGCTCCTTTTCCCGCCAAAATTCTGTTGTTTGTCACTTCCCTTTCCTGGCTGTACCTCCTTGCTTACTTAGCTACCTCAAGGGGGAAACACTGAACAGCTATAGCGGAGCTGTGTGCTTTTCTCTTTGCCTGCCTCTTCTGTCAGGGTCCCGAATGCTCCGGAGCGCTGTAGCCCTTAGGAATGAAATGGTCCGCAACAGAAGTTACTTGAAGGCAGGGGTGTTTTGCATTTGTTGGAGACAAGCTTATATATACTCTAGATTTGTTGTAGTTACGTGCCGTCAAGTCGAAACCGACTTATAGCGACTCTAATTAGGCTTTCAAGGCGAGTGAGATATTTAAGGAGTGGTTTTACCAGTTCCATTTCCCCAGTGAGTCTCCATGGCCTAATGGGAATTCGAACCCTCTTCTTCAGAGTCCTAGGCTGTCACTCTGTCCAGTACACCACACTGGGAACCTTTTTATATAGATTTAGAGAGCGCTAAAAATAATGCATTCTAAGGAGTTCTGTGTTCAGAGTGATAACCCCCTTGGTTGTCCAACAGCCCTCTAATGATAAGGAACTTGCTGTGCCCTAAACTTTAGTGAGCTGCCTGAAATTATCCCCCTGAAGGGATGGTTTTATATAATAATGTGCTGTCAAGTCAATTCTGAGTTGGCCATCCTCTTCAGGGTTTTATGGGTAAACAATACTCAGAAGTGCCTTACCATTCCCTTCTTCTGAGGGCATCCTGGAACTGTGCAGCTTGCCCAAGGCTACACAGGCTGGCTTTGCTGGCAGGAGACACCGTGGAGAATTGAACTCCTAACCATACCTAATTCACTGAGCTATGTACAGATAAATGTTTTTACGTAACAGGTCATATAGACCAAGATAGTGGGTGCTTAAGCTTGCTGTTAAGAACTTCCTATACTACAAGAAAGATTGAAGAGCAGATTTTCAAAATTTACTTTTATGTCAAAGGCATATTGACATCTTGTGCTTCCATGTAGAAAAACCAGCCATGACTTCTATTTCTGAAAAAAATGATTCATTGTCTGCTGAGCAATCAGAAGAGAAAGAACCAGAGCCTGGAAATAAAGTTGAAGATAGTGAGGAAGAAGAAGAGGAGGAAGAGGAAAAAGGTGAGTATATAGCCATGTAAGTGTTACCGGCCCAAGATGAAACCTTATTTTAACAAGCAATATTATGCTTCATTTTATGCTTCATTCTTATTTATAGTTAATGCTTGATGTATATTTTCTATGATAGATTTTTCTGTAATGAGTCTTAAGCATTCTATGGGTTATGTAGTCTGTGATCAAAATACCTTGTAACCTTTGTAACAGAACTCTAACAAACTTGTGTAACTTTAAGACCAGGCCCTTATTGAATTATAATTTAACACAAGCAGAGTACTTTGAATAACACTATTTCCTGCATTTAATGTAGCTGTAACAATATTGTATCTATGCTCTGTATCTATACCACAACAACTGTATCTTATCCCAAATGTACTTTATATTTGTACTTCTCTATATTTTGTATTTCTGCAACGCCTAGAATGTATGCCCTCCCAAATGGTCACATTTGTTTTACAAACTCCATTCTGTTTTAACTCTGCCTCAACCCAGAGCTGGGAACAACAAAGATCATTCACACTTAGCTGATAGCACTGCTGATAAGCATTTATGGCCCATCCAAATAAACAAAGAAACCCCCATCCTACACCAGGAACTGACATTGTGGTAAAGTATGGCCAGATGGCTACACTTGGAATAACAAAAGGGCCTTCTATATCCTGCCCAAAGTGGCATTGGAATGTCAGGGGAGGAAGGCAGTGATGATGATGGATACTCCTGTTCCCAGAGACTTTCAGGCAGCATCTTGGGCACAGGTCAAAGAAACA